TCTTTGGTGAAGTGTCTGTTCATATCCTGTGCCCATTTTTCAGTTGGATTATTTACCTTTATCTTGTGGTGTTCAAGTATTTTATAAATTCTTGATATAAGCTCCTAATCTGACATGTCATTACTAAATATTTTTTTTCCCAATCTGTGGCTTCTCTTTTTACCATGTCGTAGAAGTTTTTGTATGTGCACAGGGATTTGATTTTTAGAAGGTTCCATTCGATGCATGTTGGAGCCTGTGGCAGGTTCGGCTTAGTGCTGCGGGCCATGCTCGCGCCCCTGTCCTCTGTCGCCCGCAGGTGTCTGCATGCATCATGGCCACAACAGTCAGGGGACACGAGTGAGAGGGTGGAGGAGCCTCTTGGCTCCTTGGACCCGACATTGCTAGAGTTCTTGGTGTGCCCACTCTCCAAGAAGCCACTCAGATATGAAGCATCAACCAATGAATTGATTAATGAAGAGTTAGGAATAGCCTGTCCTGTCATTGATGGCATTCCTAATATGATTCCACAGTCAGCCAGAATGATACATCAAAATAAAAAGAAAGAAGAGGAGCAGCTCCTGCCAATCACCATACCAGTTTATGCGTTCTTCCATTTTTGGACTTGGATGAGTATTAAGCTTTTTGGACGTAAATAATTAATAAAACCATAGTCAAGACTGTATATATATTAATATGTCTTGGACTTCTTTCTGTGAAAGTTCAATTAGAATGAAATATTGTAATCTCTTTTAGTTTGGAGGAAAAATTTCTTGCCTTGTTATGTCAGAGGTGTAAGGACTATGGGAGGCTTGACCTACAGAAGCCTTATTTATTGTACTCTTGTTTGCCCCATATTGTTTGAAAGCCCTACTCTAAAATATCAATTCCTATAGTAGAGGAAGTGATGTGTCTTGTTGATGCTTAACAGCCGTAATCATTAGCTAATAACTATAGTTTTTATTCTGTCTACTCATTTGAAAGTTGGTCATTTGGAATATTGTTTGATTAAATTCATTCTTTAAGTAAGATGTTAGGAATGAGTGAAATAATTCCAAAAGAACT